TTTAATTAAGCCCAAAACGGTCCGTACGATATTCTGGAACAAAGTAGCTGCAGAGGTCACACACCCTTGTAGAGGGATACATCTACACTAATAAAGACAAAATGTCGGTCTGTATATCTGTCCAAGTGATTGATGTAGAGATACCAACAGGAGTCCTCCCATTGAACCTTCCCACTGAGTCCTCCGAACAGGAGTCCTCCTAAAAGAATGTGTGTGCAAATATATGAAGGGATGCTAACGAGTTCAGTGGCACATTTTTTTAATCTTAAAGAAACAAAGATTACTAAGAAGAGAAGATTAGGCCTTTCGAGGACAAATAAGAATGCTAGACGAAAGAGAGAAGGCCGATTAAATGAAACTGGTTGCAAGCGTAGCTGCAACGGGTACAGCTAGTAACTTCATAAGTCTTGGATTTGACGCAGTGCCTCAAAGTGAAGTGAGGTGTATTTGTGGGCAAACAACAAATGTAATATCCCACAAACGGCCATGAAGTCAATAGCTGATTTATCTGGGGGATTGTCGGCCAGAACGCTCGGAGAGAGAAACTCCCTTCTCATTACGAATAGTGCCGTGGGATCTTTTAACACCCACCTGAACAGACAGATGGGACCTGGGTTTAACGTCTTATCTGAAGGACGGTGTCTCTGACAATGCGACACCCTGCGTTGGAGTGTCAGTGTGATTCCATGACCCGATGTGGGGCCTTGAGCCCACAACCTTTTGACTCAGAGGCGAGAGCGCTACCACTCTGCCAGGCTGACACGTTGCGAGACCAGGGACACAGGCCTTAACCTGCCCTCGAGCCACCCCACTCCTTCCCACACTTCCCTCCCCCCCCCCCGCCAGCACCCCCTACCATCACTCCTACCCAGTTTACCTTTCAAACATCAAACCCACAAACTTCTGACCCAGAAGCGAGAGTTCTGCCAACTGAACCAAGCCAAAAACCTGCATCACACAAGCGCTCAAAAAAAAAACACACTGTGCAAATCTTATGTGAGTGACTTGTCTTTATTCACAGATTAGGGTTAAAAACTGTTAAAAAAAGTTCAACGGCTGCAAACATTCACCAATTCCGCTTCTCGTAAATGTTCGAAAAGGAACGCCGATTGAAAGAGGCTGAACTGAACTCAGCATTTGAAAGGTTAACAGCAGATGTAGACTCGGTGGGGCCCATGTACACAAGGTCTCACACATACACCTTAACGTTAGGTAAGTACTACCTACTCACTTTGTAATCCCGAAATTGCGTGGGTTACAAACTGTAGTTACTAAGTGGGCTGACTGCCCAGGTAGAGAGCCCAAAAGGGTCACCACACATTGAAATTATAAAATTAATTGGGCGGGTGGGTGGGGGGGGCGGGGGGGTGGTTCTATGTTCGTTCCAAGGTATTAAGACACCCTCAATCTGAGGGGGAAATGATTCTCTTCATCGGGAGTGTCCCTCTCACCACCCCACCCCCCCCCTCCTCAACCTTGACAGAAGCAAACACGTTCCTGAGCACTTGCAGCAACATCATCATCCCCTCCACAAGGTGCAGATTATCCAAACAACGCAGCCTGTATCCATCTCTGTACCATCACCCCCATCCTCACTCGGCTCTGCCACCATCGATATTTGGAGATAATAATAATCACGTCATTGAGGCGTCTCAAAGCTCTTCGCAGAATATACCGTACAGTGGATTGACTGTAATATCTTGTGGGTGAAAGACGGCAGCCAATTGCGCACAGCGGTGTCCCACAAACAGTCGTGGATAGAGTTGACCAAATAATTTTTTTTTAAA